CCCTTTAATTTGCAAACCTCTCGTAACTCTTCTACGTTAGGGCAATAACGCCTGACACCTAATTGGGTACTTAGGATTAAAAGGAAAACGAAGAATGGCCTTAACAGCCTGTCTAATCGTCGAGGGTAAATGGTCGGATGTCAAAGGATGAAAAACTCTTTGAGACCTCCCACTGACCGAACCTGAAACCGATCCGTCAGCAGGCGTGAGCCTTTATTATTCGAAAGGGATTGTTGTATTTTTGGCGATAATATTGCTAATACCATCGTCCACTTAATTCCTCGAACGCTGAGCATCACTTGAGACCGCATTAATTTCGACGAACAATAGCAATACAATAATGTGATAATGAAATATAGCTTTCATCTTTAGTATATAACCGTTTCTAAATTTTAATGGAAAGTTACAACAGAATAATTGCCATTCGTCGACTTTCATATTTTATCAGAATGACATTGTAATTTTACTTAATCGCGGAGGACTGTTCGAGAAGAAAAAGTTAAGTAAATTTTGCGTTTATCTTCCGGAAGGAACGGAAACGAAAAAACTTGTGTGGGCTGGTTGGATTGCGAGAAAACACATCGGGGCGGTAGGTAAACTGTAGATTCTATCAGATTGAGATTCTGTCCCTTTTCGAAAACAGCTGTATCCCTTTACGAAAGTGTTCTCTGGCTTTCTTTATTTGGAACCTTCGTCCTGGTTTATACGTTACACGGTCGATGTTTCGATCATTTTCCACATTTTCCAAATTTTGTAACGACGCGACCCGTGCTTGAAATTTCATTCCGTCCATTTATTTATGGATGACACATCGCAGCAAATTTCAAATTTCAACAATCCTATCGATAGAAGTGGTCGTTGTGTTTTCCACGACGACGATTTTTACGCAAAGCCATGGAAACGCGCGTAATCCGGCGGCAGCTTAAGCTGGAAGCTTTCGACGAAGGAAAGAGGTACGCTTATGGGGGAAACTGGATAAGGAGAAGCCGACAAATAGGTTTTACGGCTCACTTCCTGTCCGTCGCACGCGACAGTTGTGCGCCCCATAATAAGACGATGGTTGCTTCCCGAGGCTGCTTGAATTACGGAGAAAAGAAATGAAATTAAGTATTGCAGATACTAGACACTAAAATTATCTAATCAATGGATGCTTAGTATAAATACAACTATGTTTCTGTAATTGGGGGAAGGAGGAGCAAACTTAGTTGTCAATTAATTCTCCGTTGTGTTATACAAAACTGATCGTAGACAACTGAACTGAATTTTTTATATAGTTTCTCGCGTGCGACGTATCTGTTAATTATTCAATTAGGGATTAATATAAACGACGACGCTGGAATACGATACAGGATCTTCCTAGAATATCCTACCTTTCTGGCTTGAAATAATTGAGATTATTTTCTTAAACGACAGGATTTGGGAGGCCTTCTTAACATCGCGTTGGAGTGTACTCTGTGCAAGATTTCCTACTGCAGAAGCCTTTGGAAGAAGGGATAAACAGAAGGAAGGATAAGTAGACTTTCTCTCTTGTGGTGCTAAAGGACGAGAACGAAGACGTTTACCGTCGAGTGGCCACTTTACAACGAATGTTTGTACATTCGAACGGAAGTTCTCTTCGATCTTTCAATGGCTACTTATTTATTTGTTGCTACCAAGTTTCTTCCCTAAGACGAACAAAAAAATAGAACACGACCTATCGCTGACTACTGCTTCCCTCCAAAAAAAAAAAAAAAAGAAACGAAATTACATAAACCAAGTGGCAATTTTGAATACAATTTACTTAGCAAAAAGAGTTTAGTAAATGAACTGCGAATTTTATGCATTATTTATAACAGGAGACCTCCAACTATATGTGCAATACAACTTGGAGTCTGAGGAATTTAAAGTTCATAGTGCATCGACACTCCACGACTTTATCATCGAAGAATACATGTCCTGCGAACATGTGTTTCGCGATGGGCCATAGGATCACCGAATCTGAAATCGCTACACATTAAATAAACTGTCAGATAAGCCGTGACTGTCCGCAGAAGCGGTTAGAGGGTATTGTTATTTCAGGACAGATGAGAATAAACATGTTCGAGACACGAATTTTCTGTTTCTAGAGACACACCGAGATAACACGTCACTCTGTGAACATTGCACGCGTATGCGACGAAACATCTGTGGCCTTGCCTAAAATTACTGTTTTCCTGAACAACTATGTACCTATACAAAGAGTTCTCCGAAAGTTTCTTCAGGATTTTTGTTTTCAATAAAACAGAAATGAGTTACTTAAATGGCACCATTTCAAAAAACCAAATCCTAAAGCCCCTTCTGGAAAACATTTTACACCGTTGATCCTTTGCAAGGATATTCATTTTTTTTTTTTTTTTTATTATTATGATATTACTAATTCGGTAAAGCGAAGTTGTTAAAGTGACACGTTGTGGGTCGACGCGTCAGCATGGATACGAGAAAAGTTAATTTCTTGACGATCACGTGGAGGACATAAAGTGGCGTTTCCGGGCGGATTTTCGCGCGTAGGTGCCGGCACGCTTTGAACGCTCGCATCTGTACGCTTCCCGCTCACATCTTCGCGCGTTCTTTTGACGTAAGCCGACTGCGATTCATCCGTCAGATTCGCATTACCTTCCGTCCAGAAGCTATATTAACTCTCTGTATCCTGTGCACGATACGGATAACCGTGTTATTGGAAATTTGATGAATTTCTAATGCAACTTTCAACGGTTTTCCTTTCGTACTTTATTTTTATTTATACATTCTCTCTTTATTTAATCGTAACAGATTGAGATAACTAAACGAAACATTCGATATGAAAACGATCCGTACGTAAAGTATCGGTCGTTGTTTTGTAACACGCTATAACGCAATAAACTGCTTCATAATTGACAGATTACCCGGTACGTAGATGTATCCATAATCCAATCGTTATATCTGTTAACTCTTTCAGTGGTGGATCGAGTACTGATTCGAAACTTTCAGCACGTTACTCAAAAGACTGTTGGATTTGGTAGATTCAAATTCGACGAAATTGGAACAAATGACGAACATATTTGCCGAGTATAACGTTATGGATTTCACATTTACACCGAGCGACCACTGAACGAGTTCACGCAGGACAAGGATGATGGCGATACGAGAACGAACAAAAAAGGACCATTTTTAATTGCGAGCGATCGAGCCTCGTCGATTTCTATAAAAAGTGATAGAGCTTTCGCGATCTTACAAAGCACATCGACACAACACATCGAAAATGGTCGCTACACCACACGCTTTAAATATTAGTACGAATAGCTTACAGTGTTACACGAATAAAAATGGTATCACATAATGTTGAAGACTACTTGGTAGTAGCTACGTTATAAATCTCTCGTGAGCAGGTAGGTATTTTTAATCATCGATCCGTTCATTGAATCTTGATTCGTCTCCTATCAAATCTTCGCTATAAATGTGTCGTATCAAAGTCCGTCCCCTTCTTCTATTTCCATTCTGACTTCTAATCGTTATCGGTAGACTGCGGATGTTTATGCAAATTCATATATATTTACAGGTTCGAATAAAGAATCGAGTTCTTTTTTTTTTTCATTCTTTCTTATGGATTTTCCCATATTTTCACTTGCCACGAATGTATAAACATCCGCAGTCTAGATATCGGGTATAGCGTTTAACGTTCACATCGACAAGGAAAATCGAAGAAGGAAACTGAAAACCGGTTTACTTAAGTTTTCAGTCTTAAAGCTGTCTGTACAAGTCCATACGCTCGATTCTCTTTTTACACAGCCCTCTATAAACATTTCTTTTTAATAACTGTGAAAGTATATTCATTTTTTGTCATTTTAAACATGCCAATTATCTTGAACGATACTTTCTTTCTTTGAAAGAGCGCTATCCACAATAGTTTGGATACCGCTGTTTTCTATGGTCTAGCCACTCTACACATTGCATCAAGATTTGTGTTATTCAGCGCAACTAAATGCATACATATGTCAACATGTTTTATTAGATCCTTTGCCTCAAAGTTACGAAACGAATTCTGTATTTTGTCGCAAGCGATGAGTCTTTTGTTGCAAGGTGTTCCGTGGAACGTATCTCCCATGTAAAAAGAGAATTGAATGTACGTATGTATGCATATAGACGTGGGGCGTATGCTGGTATCTACACGTACAAATTTGATGTGTATATATAAAGGGTTTACAATTACGGCAGACTAAGTCTATTTTAAAGAATTCCAGCAAAAACAAGGTAAAAGTATTGGATAGCGAAATCAGCGATTTGACCTTTCGCGATTCTACGTCGAGTTACCCTGAACATCCTATTTTATCGTACTCAGTTTTGTGTCAATCTGTTTACACGCGATAAACACATTTGATAAGGATAAATACTTGTTTTTAATGCTAAGAAATATGTACAAGACCAAGTACATTCCCTAAGTCAGGTGTGGTTCCTCGAATATAGGTACTAATATAGTTTGAACAAAACTTTAAAACGAAGGATAAGTATACACAGAATTATAGCTGTATTGCTATCTTGAAAGAGTAATATGAACTATATACTTGATTTGTTATGGCACCAAATGGGATGGTTCCCATTGGAAATTAATTCTAAAAAGTCTCGGGGAACTAGAGTCTATAATAAAGTAGAAAAAAAATGTACAGTTAATCCACTTCTCTGACTGTAAAATACTTGTACATGAACGGTGTATTTATATACACGCGTATTCTAATTTCTCAATCTTACAGAACATATCAGCTCGCAATACAAATCACATTCGCTGTCTTACCATACTACAGGCAAGGATACAGATTCATATTTAACAGGAGAGATGATTAAGCAGGATATTAATTGTGAATGATATTGTGGACATGTCAGATATACAGATCGGTTAAAAAAATCGTCGATCTATATCCTTGCCAGTAATGCCTTACTACATAACCGAACGTTGTACTGACAATTGGTTTTAGAAAAATCTATAGGAAATAGGAAAAAAGTCTACATCATAAACGCAAATCGTAAGTATATTGTTAAGAATATCGCATTAATCGCGTAACAATAATTCAAACTCAGTGACGATATTTCTAGAAGAACATAAGTCATATACAGCACTTTTGATAAGTATACATATAATACAATATAACTAAGTAAACCCATTTTACACAAATAAACTTACTTGAGCAGAAAATACTAGCAAGATATTTATATGAAGTAGTGCAAAGAGCTAATTCGTTTTATTCAATAAAAAAAAGAAAATCGTTAAAATAGATGACTTCCAACACAAGGATACGATCAATTTCAAGATATTTCTTCTTGACACTTGCTCATATTTGTAACTTGATACAAATTGTTCAAATAATAAGACTTCTAAAATGTTAAAATAGGAATTTTTATACCCTTAATTTCACGTTACTAGTCCTACTATCATATATGTATGTATATATATATATATATATACAGAGTAGTAAAACAGATGCGTATCTCTAATAGAATTAATTTGAAGATATAACATATTAATATAGAACTTCCAATGTAAACTTAACATACAAACATCATAAATACTGTCATCGATTTCTGTACATGTACTTTACAAAATACATAAGTACTTTTTTGCGTTAATAAAAAATAAATATTTTAGAACTTAAAGTTGCAAATAAATTCCACAAACGTTATTAGAATAAAATTCCTTTTTTTTTTTTGTAGTGCAATAACTGATATGCCAGAAACTTAAATTACTTCTGTATATATTCAAATAACATAAACGAAAACTGAAAAAAATAAACAATAGAAAAATAACTATTCAACAAACTTGTATTCTTCTGTAAATTCTTCTATATTATCTATCAAGTAAGTACGATTACGGGAAATATGCTACGAAATAAAACTTTACACTATATAGCACCACACTATGGTGTTTTACTTTGGATTTTAAAGAATACTTAATGATATTAACATATATTACACAACTTTTAAATATTTTACACTACAATCATTCCAACTTGTCTCGTTAAAAAACAGCGTCACAAGCATATTTAATAATCTTATTTTTGTCTGAATATCGTATATTGTTTCGCTCATTAATGTATATACTTCCCCAATACTTCGATCTATTTAACATTATACGATAGACACATATCCTATACTTAAACTGCTTTAAGAAAAGTTGTATAATGCAAATAGTTCGGAAAAGTAATAACTTTTTCACTTTATCTGATTTTTTACCATCTGTACACATAAATATCACCGTCAAACTTAAAATCCATGTATCAGGCAATGATTTATTGTTAGTGTTCTATACTAAACAAATTAACAAAAATTATTCCCTGTATTAGTTTTTAATTCCAACGCGCGGGGAACATCAAACAATTCAAACAAAGTACATTTTTGCATTGACTAGTTAAAAAGACAACAGATGAGAAAATAGCTGTACTCGCATTTAAAAAAAATGTATCTCGTAACGAAACGGGATAAAAGGAACAGCTAAAATGTAATTTGAAATTTTCCATTTAAATAGCTCAGAAAATTAATTGTGCAAACAATTACAAGAATAAAATAATATGGATTAAAGCAAAACATAATTTCCTCAATTATGATATCCCATAGAATTTCAACGTTTTCAAAATTAGTAACGTTCGAACATAATCTGCCTAACATATAAAAAAAGAATTATTTACCCAATTATTACTTTCTTTTATTAGTTTTCTTATTATTTGTTAATATTTATATAATCAGCTGCCTGACGCTTATGCAATCAAAAGATTTTCACTCTTTGATAAATAAATGGTTTTATCACGTTTAAATGTATATTATATATTAAAGCTATAGTCTTTTTAAAAATAAAAACATCTTAAAACAAAAAGAATTGACATCAGACATAAAGAAATCATATCATAAAATATTTATATTTATTTTTTTAAGATTTGGAGAACCCTTGTGGACTATAACGTCTGTATTCGTCACATTTTCCTTGTAGCTTTTATGCACTACCAAATTTACTTTATATGCATAAGTAACTAACGCCATATTTTTCTACGAGTACTTTTTTACGAGTATTTCTCTACGATACTATACCTTCGAAAAAAATAATTATAGTAAGTACTATTAATAATAATTCACAATATTAAAAGAGGATCAATCAAATAAAAAATTTAGTAAGTATTTAAAGAGAAAAACATTTAAACACGTTCAATTTGTTAAAAGATGAGAAATACACACTGCAGTTTGTAATTCTTACAGCCCTTTACGCTCAAATATAATTGATATACGTATTCTCATTGTACTTTAAAATAACGAATTTTCTCGTAATCATATCTATTCATTTTGAAATTCTGATTCGGTTGTTCATATCTTTGTACGATTTTGTATACAAAATTCCTGCATGTTGTACTTTTTATCCAATTGTTTAGAAAATTTTAATTCTATGTTAAAAGTGTTCTGGATCTACGTAAAAAAAACGGCATAAAAGAAGATCAAGACTCGTATATCAATCTTTGATAATGCGGAAATATTTCCCATGTAGGAAGATGTAAACCGAATTCTAAGGCCACCAAAACAGCAAATTCAGACGTAATCAAATCCTTGCGATTTAAACGGAATATACTTTCAATTCTCTGGAAATCGTTTAAAAATTATTTAATCAAAAACCATTCGATGTATAAAGTTAATGCACAGAAGAAAACAATATAAATCGGCATAAAATGTATATATGTATAATAAATACCTCTATTAATGATTTAAGAACATCGCCCTTTACATCGTTTAGTTTGGCTGCTAGTAGTAAACATGCACCAGCACATAATTTTCGTGTTTGTTTCGTGACAACATTGCGAAGAATAAGTTTCTCAAAATATACATAAGCCATTGCTACCGTTAGAAGATCAATTCCATATTCCGTTTTTGCTATTTTGCGCATCTCTCGTTTTAAACTATAAATATTAATAACAATTGTAATATTATTCAATTTCAAAATAGAAATATTATATACATGGAAATACATTATATTTTTGAATAATGACCTTCTTAGCTTGCTCAAAGTGAGTTGGATATGCGGAAACTTTTCTTTAAATTTATCATTCAATTCTTTCTTCAAATCAGATGGCCGTACATAATCAATAACTGATGCCTATTAAAAGAAAAAAAAGTATTGAATCACCAAGTAAATCCATTATTAGCATACTGCCACGAATTTATAAAGTACGTACCATATAAGATGTAAATGTGAGTAATGTTCTATGCTTTCCAGCTATGAGTTCTGGATCATCTAATAAATTGGGATTGTATTGTAGCGATTGTTCGTCCCAGTCATAAACTATAGTATAAAAAAAAAAAAAGAAACAGTATCTTTACATATTTCTTGTGACTTGAATGAATGATATTCATATAATTAACATGATATGAGAACAATACCTTTCGAGTCAGCGCTAAATGATAATGGTGGAGATTCGGGTGTTACATGTTGAGTACGATGTGTGGCTGTATCATAAGATAAACACCTGAAACAAATTCTGTACACTAAGACACAGCAAGAGGAATTTCTAATTAAAAATTGCATGCAATAAATATATTTAGTCTACTATAGTTTCTAATCTCATTGATATTACATGTGTACTAAATAATTAGAAGTGACTAATAAACTATTTTCTTACATAAGTTAAGAATAAATATTGATATATACATGAATGTGCACAAATGAAAATGCAAGTGATAATGCATGTTATGTGAGCGACAATATTTGAATACTTTATTTATATACCAGTGCTAAATTAAATCATTCTAAGAATACTATTTTTAGATAAGTGATAAAAATGTTCATAAATCATTTCTAATAAAGATCGATTACTATTTACTCAACACTAATTATTAATTGTTTTCTATAAAACAAAACACGTATTTGCTTTAGATTACATTCGCGATCAAAATATTAAGAATGCATGTCCCGAAAAATATAATTAAAAAATAGCATTATACACATACTTCATATTATACATACCACATAATGAAAATTAGAAAAAAAAGCATTTATATCTTAATATATTATTGTAAATTTACTGTCTTCTATCTTAAATTTAACTAATGTATAAATTACAATTTATATTTTAACTATACGTATCTATTTCAATTTTTTTGTAATACAATACTATTTCAATTTTTACCATTTAGAGTGATCCACATTCCATGTAATAGTTTTTGTCCTGCAAAAACATGGTTGAAACATCTTGTTATAATACAAACAAATTGTGAAATGTAGTTTCTGTGAAGATACATTAATGAAATACATGAAACATGAATGAAGATGTTGAAAGGAAAGTGTGTAACACTGAAGCATATGAGGATTTTAAATAATAAAATAGTTTTACAACACTTTTGTAACTTGCAGACAAAGTGAAAAATTCAACAATAATATAAAAACATTAATTTTTAAAATGAATACCTTGAAACCATAGGATGCTTGTTAGGTATAACATGCGTAAGTTCTATTGCCTCGTTATCGCTAAAATGTAATTTTTTATCCTTTTGAAATTGCCTAGATGGAACAAGCAATTGCCCATAAGATATTTCCTACAAACAAAATTTGTTAAGATTATTTCTGAATCTAAAATGCATAAATTTAGTTTACACATTTTAATTAAATACCTGGCCGTCCTTAGCACGCTCTATACCTAACAAACCAAAAGGATCGATATTATCATTAATTGCGGACAACGGTCGTTGCGAACTAATATTTTTTCTTCGCCCGGTATCCTTGCGTAATTCAGACCTATAAATTGAAAGAAAACCAACAGCAAATGTATTAATACAAGTTTAAACACACTCTAAAAACATTCATAATACATAAACTATGTCTTATCTTACCAACTGGATCTTTGTCCTTTATTATATGGAAGAGCAGAAAATACTAGAAACGGTACATGCTTATTAGAAACCAAAACTAGTCTGTCATCTCCAAATTTGTGGCCATTTACAGGATGTTGCATTAAACGCAACTCTCTCGTGACTTCGGGTATTATGCCACTGTTTGTACAAACAGATTGCACATTGTTCGATGTCTTTGTTTTCGATTTAGAGGATTGTGTTTTCGAACGTAAGGAACCAATGCTCTCATTGGAACTGTTATATTGATGCTTTATGTCTTCAGAAAGCGTAGATGTTTGATGAGTTATACGCTTTTTATATTGTAAAGAGCCTACTCGCCTTTCAGGTAACGAATATTCACTGCCAGTAGTACAAGTACTAAAAAACAGAAATGTGTATATTTTATATTTTACTTTACTACAAACAACTTCAGTTATTAAAAGTAAATATCAATGAAAATGTTTATTATTTACTATTATGATGAAGTTCTGAAATATCAAAGTTGTCTCATAAAATGTATAATATACTTCATATGTTATACAATACTATTATTACTTCTTTCTTATTGAATTAGTATAATTAGATATGTATTTGTATTTAACATTCTGAAGAATTCAAATACCAAAAGCAAATATCTTATAAATAAATAATGATAAGGATTCATATAAGTAACATTCATGAAATCATTGCTTTTATAAAAACATACATAAAATACACCACTGATAATAAAACTTACAATAATTATAATGATTCTTATTAGGACTATGGATAAGATATCACACCAATTAATTATTTTGTTGAGAGAAAATAGTTTATTCAACTCGATAATAAGTTTGTGTAATAGAATCGACAATATAATTTTTAAAATGCAAGTACATTATAAAATATATACAATGTTTATGGATAATTTTGTATTATACTTGTTCCACTTTCCAATTTACCCAAGACAACAGAGGAATTCAAACAAACCTTGTTTACGTAAACAAACAATGATATGATTCCTGTAAACACAGAAATAATTAAATTATAAGAAACTGAAGCGTGAATTCTATAATGACAACTTTGCAAAGCAGAACATAGTATATAACTCTGATATTTAAAAGATCTTAAACAACTATTTACCGTTCTCTGAACGAACTATGAAATCCAGTAGAGAGCTGTGGATAATTTCTTTCCTGTTCAAGAAAAGCAGCCACTGCTGCCTTCGCAGGAGTCAACACCCCATCAGAGTTTGAACTAAACGAATTGTGTTCAGCATTCTTCGATGTCAATTGTGGTGAGGATGACTGCTTCGCAGATGGATGTGTTGCATGCTCCTCTGTGCAGTCGTCAAGAACTTCCTCGCTGGAAACGTCCAGATCGGTTTGACGAACATCAGCCCGATGTGCTTGACTGTCGCTGAGGGTACGAGCATGGACAGCACCATTTCGCGATAAAATAGCTAACTTGGTGTCGCGGTGGCTGCCATCGAGGGAGATGTTCGAAAGAAACGTTAGGGCGGCCAACCTTCTACGTGAATGATTCTTTTTTAAGGCTGCTGCCATTCCACGATTGACCGTGTCGAGAGACCGGTGTTACCGAATAACAACGTAAACGACCAGGAAAAGGACGAGTGCCCGATAAGGGCTCTTTTATCAAACAAAGGCTGACTACTAGGATCACAACTCATTGTCACAACTCGTACACTTAGTCCTGACATTATCCACAGACGTGCCCGCGTAGCGCACGTAACAACGTGAATCGATGTCACTTGTCATCGTACCGTTTCCTCTCATAAGATTAAAAAACGAATCCTGGTCTCCAATGAAACAACACGACCTTTCTTTCTACTACTCAACACTGCGAACCATCCTCCTCTTGGCGGTTGAGTGATAACCCTGTCCCCTTCTGCGACTGCGCGTATTCTTACGTACAATGGACGAAATATCTAACATTTTTTTCAAAATTTCATCTTTTTCTTCATTAACTCCGTTATAGCTTTCTTATGAAAGATTTTTTTTATAACAGAATGTTACAAATACTATAGTAATTCTTGTATACGCCCATAATTGCGTTTCGAGGTTAGTAATTCCATTACAAAAATAACTACGCATTACATATACATAATTATAATTGTATATTTTTCCGTTTTGTATATATACTAGAATACTGTTAATTGCGCTACTTCACAACTCTGATCATATATAATGTATACACAGAATGTATTTATTACGCGGTATTCTCAATTATGACCAGTAATGAGTACAATTCAAAATATCGCCCAATTTTAATATTGATATAAGATACGTAGAATTATTAGACAACAATATTTGCGAAATATTATAGGTAGGATTGGACAAACTTTCTTTTCGTATGACGAATGGAAATTTTAGAAAAGATCGTAATCCATATGAACATTATTAATGATGTGTAACAATAGTGAAAGAAACACGTGTTCAATTATTATTTCATTAATGATTTAGTAATTATTACTTGTTGGTTCTATACACAGCTAAAACGTATTTAATGTTAATTCTAACAGAGGTCTACTTCAATATAAGTTATAAAATTACGTATTTATGTATAATAATTACAGTACTGTAGTGAAAGAGTCAATAAGACAATAAACAAGGATATCGATACAGTAATACAATTAAAAATATCATTATCGACCCACTATCAGCAGGAATCACAGCAGACCAATGAACCAATAAGATTCTGTCACAATCACGTGGTTTTATTTACTCGAGTTTTATTCTTGCTGGACAAAGTGTACATCTCGATAATATGTTATGAATTACAATTATTAAGAATTGTATTGTAAAGAAAATTTAATATTTATATTTGTCAACTTATTACAAAAAAAAAAAATGTAAATTTTATGCGCATTTATTAATCAATCACATATAACATTGTAGTAATTATAGAAATAAAAATGTTTTTCTAATTTTTTAAAACGCGCAATTAAAAAAAAAAGACAACAAAGAAATAAAATGAAATTCACATTGTTTTATTATGTAACGCTAGAAATGATTAAAAGATATTATACGCGTATATTTGACAACTCCAAACTTCATTGCATTGTTATCAATTATTAAAAGTCTCCTTTAAAATCATTTTTTTAAAACATTTTACATATAATTACTCCTTTATAAATTATCATTGTTATTAGTTAGCAAAATCTACTACACATAAACAAGGTTGAAAATATTTATGTCTGTGATGTTAGATAAGGATTTTAAACTTCTTAAATTAATCAAGATATATTATTATTTACATATTATCTTTCTGTTACTGTAAATCTATACGTAAATAATCTTATGTTAAATAACTGTACAGCATAAAAGTTAATACAATGCTGTATTAGAAGCAGAAAACTAATCTAATTGATATAAAAGTGTTAATATTATAAAAAAAGAACATATCCCTCAATAGATCTATTTTGTATCGAGCATATTGAACTAAAAGACTAGCAATAAAAAAACAAACATTATGCCACGTTATTTATTTTAATTTTTAGAAGTTAACTATTTCAATATTTACGTTTATCATCCTTCGTTCATATTTTATAAGATGATATATTGTTTACAAAGTCTAGAACCAAAACAGATATTTAATTACTGTAAATGTATCTAAGTTTAAGCCTTACAGATTTAAATCTAAAATTGTAACACTTTAATACAGTCTATAATATTTCTGTAAAATGAAAAGAAAAGTTATATTCATATAATCCTAAAATTTCTTAAACAATGTGACAATCAGTTGAATGACGTTAAAAACTAATTTCTACAAGCAACAAAGTTCGTACAACATTTTGTTAATAATTATAAAGAAATGTATATTTAATTTACACAATAATAATAGAAAATTCCGTAAACTCTGAAATAATCTAAAACGACATCGCAACAGGAGTAACATCCAATCGTTTTAAATATACAAAGCCATCCGCACTGTATTCTCAAAATAAATAATTTTCATCAATTTCTTGCAATAATCAAACAATTAATTAACAGTCATAATATTAGCTGTTATGGTCGCTTACGCTAAGTATAAATTTAGTATTTTTAACTAAATATCGAGGCTAGATTGCATAAGAAACCCTAAAATAGTTATAGATGCTCCCATCGTATTGGAGTACTTGAAGATTCGAGAGCCCTTGATATGGATTCATGTAGTCCATGTCCCAGCCACAATTGATTCAATTGCCTGTATTTATCGTGACACAACCGAAGTGGATTTCCTCTACGTAGACCTTGATCCGTTTCGCCATATTCGTCAAGATAAGGTGGACAATCAAGCGAACCTCGATTTGGGCTCCTTAAGAAAAGGATTTCACATTCCCGTACTCGTAAAAATATTCCTATTCCGGTGCCACACTTACTCGCGTGATATGTACACGCACCAACCATCAGCTTATTTAGTTCAGTTTGGCAACAGTAACTTCGAGAACATAACATTTCTCCACAAATCAGACACATTGTCGGATTTTTAGAATCCTCTCGGTCGCTATTGGGACATATGAACGATGATGTCATATTTATCAATTCACTATAATCTTCTGGAACCTCTACCAATTTATTAACTTTCAAAGGTTCCCTTATTACCGTGACTGTACTAGCACCAGACAAATGCATTTGAACAGTGGGATGACTTTTCCAAATATTTATCAATTGCATAATTATATCTAAATTAGGCTTCACTAATTCATCACATGTTGTGGGTAGTCCTAAATATGCACAGATATTTTCATATGTAGCTCCATCTGTTTTAGTTAGTTCCTCTGGTGCAGGAACATCAGATACATAATGGAAATAGAGAGCACAACATCTAAGAAAAGGCAAGCAAGCTTCCTTGATTCGTCTCCATATTTCATCAACTGTTTGAGTACCAATATTAATGCCTAAAGCTTGAATCAGCGTTAGGATATATTCCGAGGATGTATTTTCAGTTGTTTCTTGACCTTCTATATCCATACCTTCATTGAAATCGGATGTTAATAATATTTTGACTATAAGCGACAAAAATACAAGTTGCAAAGCATAAAATTCAGATATTCCACACGTAATAATTGATGATATTCTATAAAATTTTGTGCTAAAGAAACATGGGAGTGAATTAATTAAAGGAACAAGTACTCCAAATGGATCCCAATCTAAGATACTTGCTCCATCATGTGGGTTCTTTAACAACATTGTTAGAAGGGAAAGTGCATGACTTGCAATAACATCTCTGTCAGCCCATGTTAAATCTGCACTAGCATCAGTCACACATGTGGCCTGCAAAATAGCTGAAATTCTAGCAAGACCTTCTAAGCTGTCTCTTTGTCTAGATGATAAAGCACCTAACAAAGGTTTATCCATATCGCGTAGAAGAAATTCTATTGCGTGAACAGTATAAGCTGTTGATTTCCATGTCAATAACGGTACCCTACAATCGCCATCATGAGGTTCTGTGCCGCATCCTTTCGTGTACGCCGCCTGTGCAAAGACATATATCATTGATATTAAATTTTCCGAAATATTTGGACCAGGTTCTTCATAAATTGCTTCAAAAAATTCTCCTGTCAGATCTCCAAATTCTTTACGAATCATTTTTATTGGGCCATGTGATCCATGGTCCATTGGATTCTCTTGTCCCATAGAATGAGGGTCTTGAGTCTCAGCATTTACGCAGTACCGACATTTGAGATCATTATTGTATAACCCTTCTAATCTAGATACTGTCATTCTTAGAGCTTTCAACCATGTATTAAAATCGAGTTTAGGTTGATTTTTAGGAGTTGGTTGCAATGTTCCTAATGCTGGTAAGAGAGGTAAGACAGTATTACTAAGACACTCGCAAAGTGGACAGAGATATTCATGTTTCTCCACGTCAAAACTTGACGGTTGTCGCAAACGAAATGGTCTTCTATTCTCTTTAGCAAGAACATTGTCGAAATATTCTTGCCAACATTGTACATGCATCACATGGCCACAAGTACTAGTATGTGGTGATGCACCCAGCTTTGCAGAAAGATATAATGGGTCAGGTTCATTAATGTCAGCTCTATTTTGACACAACACTGTGGATTGTTGAACAAATGCAGCTAATACCATTGCTGGACCAGCTGCTGTTACAGTTTGATTTTCCTGACATAGAATACAAGTGTAAGCTTTTTCCTCAGATATCTTCGTCGTTTGTCCAGCACCAACGGCAACGGGTGTTTTTTGAAAACATTCGCTCAAACCCATAGTAGAATCTCGATCACTGGATTTGTTCACATCTAAAGCAGCTTCTTCGAATAATTCGGCGTTCTTTTTTATAAAATGTCTCTGCATAGCAGCCATTTGTGCCATTATTTTAGCACGCTTTTGTTTTGCCATGTGTGTTCTCCATTCTTTATCACTCTTAGTATTTTCAGTATCATTTGTAGATTCCGTAAGGGGCGCAGCAGGTGATGTACTGACTTCCACTACACTATAACCAGCAACTTCTCTGTATTTTGTTAAAACCCAAGTTAATAAATCTTTATGAGCTTCTATGCGCGGGCTGCTAGATAAATCTTCTAACAATTTATAAATTTTCCATTTTGCGGCTCTTGCAGGAAACGCAAAGAAAGGATAATAACCAGATTCTTGTTCTTGAAGAGCATATCCTATTAAATGTAGAACCTTATGCACTTGTGGCTCTGAGAAACCAGGTGCTGTAGTACCAAGTGCTCTTTCTAATACAGTTTGCATAATATGTAACATGACATCGCACTGTAGTAAATTAGTTACCAAACTAAATACTTCTGTCAGTCTAGGAAGTTTAGGAGGTGGGCAACATTCTAATTCTCCTAAAGCTTTTCTTCGTTTTCGTTGTACCTCTTCAGATTTGCTTAATTCCTCTTTAGTGTAATGGTAAAAGAAGACATTATATTCTGAATATAAATGAGGTTTCAGTTGATACACTCCTTTTCCTCGTGATGCTTGCGAAGGTTTTTTGAAGTCTGCAACATCGTTAATTACCCTTTCCATTCCATTTCCAGAATTTCCATCATCTGGTAATGTTTTATTAAGCTCTGAATGAGAAAGCGGTTGAATGCATAATTGTTGGATTATTTCTTTTTTCAAACGATCATCAGCAGTAAC